TAAAATAATTTATATTTTAGAAAACTACGAACAACCTTAAAAGTTTGATGCTTCAACAGATTTATAAACAATTCTCATTACTAATTTATCAAGATATTTGGTGCATTTTTAGTTTTCCAATTCATGTTATAAGTGACCCAAACTCACAGCACTGGTAGAGATGAGTTCATGTGGAACAGCATTTACTTCAAACTGAATCACTCTGAGACTTGAGTTTCTTGTGTTTCAGTGAATACTGTGTCACACTTCACTCGTAATTATAGAAATGTATGATTATATACATATACAATATACATGTGAAGTGTGACACAGTATTCATCACACTAACCAATATCACATTCTCACAACCATGCATTGTTAGAATTTATAAATAAGTTACCAGCCATCTGGCAAGTAACACCCTTTTCATAAACTTGCCAGAGCCGTGTTAATTTTGGACCCTAGCCAAGATGCTAAGGGTGTCCTGCATACGGCTGCTAGATGCTATGCTGCTAGCTTGTGCAGTGCTGTCAGAAGCTATCTTTGAAAATGCAGCAGTTTTAGTAATTGTTTCCAGACGTTTAAATCATCTTAGTGCAATCCACATCTATAGACATCTGTATAAATGTGAAAAAATGCCTGCGAATGTTGTTTTTGTCTCTAGTTCTGGAATGCCATTGAGAGAAGAAGCAACATTTTTTTTTATCCTGCAGGTCATTGTTACTCAGGTCCAGCTCTCTCAGGACAGAGTTTGATGATAAAACTGATGACAACTCTCACAAGACTGAGCAGTGAGATTACAGATGGAAAATCTGAAAAAGAATAACACAGTAACTGTGTACAGAATATATCTTAACAGTGTGTGTGTTTTTTTTTATTAACTTGCAAAAGAATTAATCAAGTATTTGAAACTCAAACCTCAGTATCTCCAGCTTAGAGTTTGGACTCTTCAGACCTTCAGAAAGCAGCTTCACTCCTGAATCCTGCAGGTCAATGTTACTCAGGTCCAGCTCTCTCAGGACGGAATTTGATGATTGTAAAACTGATGACAAACTCTCACAAGACTGAGCAGTGAGATTACATGTGAAAAATCTGAACAACAAGAACACAGTAACTGCGTACAGAATAAATCTTAACAGTGTGTTTTTTTAATAATTAACTTGCAAAATAATTAATCAAGTATTTGAAACTCAAACCTCAACATCTCCAGCTTAGAGTTTGGACTCTTCAGACCTTCAGAGAGCAGCTTCACTCCTGAATCCTGCAGGTCATTGTTACTCAGGTCCAGCTCTCTCAGGACAGAATTTGATGATTGTAAAACTAATGACAAACTCCCACAAGACTGAACAGTGAGATTACATCCACATAGCCTGTGTAAACAAAACAAACAGC